GAATGTGGCTCACTGCAACCTATGCCTCCTGGGCTCAATCAGTCCTCCAACCTCAGCCTCCTAAGTAGCAGAGACTACAAGCACATGCCATCATTCCAAGCTGATTTTTTTTTTATATCTGCATTGCAAAACACAAGGTTCTGCAATGTTGCCCGCGCTGGTCTTGAACTCCTGAGCTCAAGTGATCCTCCCGCGTTGGCCTCCCAAAGTGCTGAGATTACAGGTGTGAGCCACTGTGCCTGGCCTGATTCTGATTTAATGGGAACAGAGTTCGGCATGGATATCAAGATTTTATTAAAGCTCTCCAGGTTCTGTGTAGCAAAATTTGAGAACCCCTGGGTTATAAAAAGTACTGAATGTCACATCAATCAGAAGGGCAATTTCTATCCTATTACAAAAGACTGGAAGCCAGAATCGTACCCAAGAAATAAGACCTCCATGTGTGGAAGTAGAGTGTCGGAGTCCCCTCTTAAAACTACTTGAGGTCTTCAGATCTCTCCTCCCCTCTTCCTCCCAGGCCCCCATTTACCTTTGCTTCCTCTTCTGAACCATCAAGTCCTGTTTGAAGACCCTCCCCTGGGGCCCAGACTTCGATGTTCTCAGAGTGCACTTGTTGGCTGCATGCCTGACCTGGGAAGTTTTCTTCTTCCTCCTCCTCCTTTTTCACCTTCACTGGGCCCCATGGGGGTATGGCCATGGCTTCTCTCAATTCTGCAGTCATCTTCTCTGCTCAGCAGGGGAATTCCTGGAGCTGGGAGCTGCCCAGCTGAGGCCAAACCCCATCTAAGCTTTATGTTTCAAAAGCTTCTTCCTGAATGTCTTCCCAGGGCCAAGGTGAGTGTTGTCTACTGAGAAATCAGAAAACATTGTTAGCACCAAGGAGAGATTTGCCTGGATGCCACTTAGCACACCGGCAAATTTCACCAGTGCCTGGCCAGGGACCACTGTAGGACATGGAATCCTCTATTCCTCCCTCATAGGATGAAGGAGTTGGACTGTAAATATGTAATTTCTTCCCATAATAACCACATTGCAAACAGCCTTATATAATGTTTATTGATTTTTTCCTGATTAAAAGTTAACATACTTTTATTGTAAAATCTTAAAAAATGCAGAAAATGATTTAAAAAAAGAATCTCAGTCTACCTCCAAAGAGATAACCACTACACATTTTAAGATTTAAGATATTTCTTTCAAAGGAAAATCTCCAACCATACTACCAATAATTATGATTTTATAAATTCTTGTTTTTGACTATGGGGATACATATTTTCACAATTATCGTAACATTTTAAAAACAGTATTTTACAACAAAAAGATTTTTTATTGCCAAGGATACAAAATAATGTGAACAAAACGATCCCAAGAAGACTGGGAGTCTTTTTTTTTTTTTTTTGGGACGGAGTTTCGCTCTTGTTACCCAGGCTGGAGTGCAATGGCGCGATCTCGGCTCACCGCAACCTCCGCCTCCTGGGTTCAGGCAATTCTCCTGTCTCAGCCTCCTGAGTAGCTGGGATTACAGGCACGCGCCACCATGCCCAGCTAATTTTTTGTATTTTTAGTAGAGACGGGGTTTCACCGTGTTGACCAGGATGGTCTTGATCTCTTGACCTCATGATCCACCCGCCTCGGCCTCCCAAAGTGCTGGGATTACAGGCGTGAGCCACCGCGCCCGGCCAACTGGGAGTCTTTATACCAACATGTTAGGAGTGGGTAGTTATCTCTGGGTGGTGTAATTACAGGTAGTTTTAAGGTTCTTTTCATTTTCTTGTTTGATTTTTACATTTTCCATCACTTCCAAATGTCCTGTGAGATAAAATATTACAATTAAGATTTTAAAAAAGATTACTTTCATGTTGACATTCTTCATGCTCATTGTAAATGCTAGACAATAACCTATGGTGTTGATAAATCTTCACTCTCATTGGAAAGGGATCAAGTAATACAGAAATACATAGAATTAAATATATAACCAATACACACTACATACATACACAGAGTAATTAGTTATCAGTCTAGATAGGAGTCTTACCCATTTTTTCTCTACATTTACATACTTAGATGAATACCTTCACACATATTGCTTATTTTTCAAAAACATACTTTAGATCATCACAGCTATACATTGTTCAGTAACCTGCATTGTTTTTAAATTCAATTTCTGTATTTTACAATAGTCTTAGCAATCTTTCAATACAATACATATAGAACTACCTTATTCTGGCATAGCATTCTAAATTGTGGCTATCTTATTGTTTACTTAACCAAATCTTATTTATGAACCACTTATTTAATAAAAGTGTACATTTACATTTTATTAATATTTGTTCAAAAACTTTTTTTTTTGGCTGAATTATTCCTTTAGAATAATCAGAGAATTACTGGTTCAAGCATTTGCTGGTCAATATGTATTGTCAAATTGCTTTCCAAAAGCACCATACCAATTCACATCCCCACTAATTAACAGTAACCCTAACCCAGCAGGGCTTTTTTAAATCTGTGAGCAAAATAACCTTACTATTTTGATTGCTTATAAAGAGACTGAAATTTTTCTATCTCCCTTTGAATGTTTTATTGGAAAAGGGTGTTAAATCTTATCCAATCACCCACTGCTGCTATTGAAGAGATCATATTCTTTTCCCCATGTTAACTTACTGGTCACTTAATGCATACACTGAATTTATTGAGTAATGCAATATGTTCATTCCTGTGACAAACCTTAATTCTGAAAGATTATTCTTTCCATGACTATCCCAATTCAATCTGGTAGGAAGGCCCTTAACTTGCGTATGTGCAAGACTGCCTACTGTGAGTACTGTCATCAGACTTCTGATCAGATTCAGATGGGCCTCTGGTCCCAGACGGCATAGGGGCCTCTATCAAAGGCTTCCCTTTTAATGTCCTTTCCCTATTTTCAAATGTGGCAATCCATTCTCTCTACGTATAGGCCCCTCGCTGCCCTGTCCCTGGGACCTATCTGGCCCCTTGGCCGGTCTGTGTCCATCCTCTTCCAGGCCAGGTTCCAGGTGGGCGGCAGCCGAGATTCCGAGGCGGTGGGGAACTCTGCCACCCCAGGACAGCAAGGCTGGTGTCCCCGACGGAAGAATGCAGGGGTCGCTCCTGGGGCCGGCGCCCCTGGGAGAGCCCCTCCTTCTACCTCGACGTTCGTGCCCACCCACTCCGACCCCACTCACCGTGCGCAACTGAGAGGCCCGACCTGAGTTAACTGGCTCTGCAGCAGGAGTCTGGCGGACCGGGACCTCAGCTCCCACCGGCACAAGAACAATGACCGGACAGGAAGTGCCTCGGAATGGGCTTCCGGCTCCCCAAGTCGCCAGGCCGGCCTCTCTAGGAATCTCGGAGGTGCTTTCCTCTCGATGGATGTCCAATGTTGCCCCGGACCAGAGATGCGGCAGAAGCGCTTAGGCGGATTGTTCCGGTGGAAGCTCTAAGTGAGCCGCAGGGAGGGGCGCATCCCCAAGCAGGGATGGGACACTCAGGCGAGGCGTGCACCCAAGAACCTGAAGCTACAAAGCGTTAATCTGTAGAAAGCCCTGATAATTTCCCCTCAAATGTTTTATTTTGAAAATATCTAAGAATACAAAAAAGTTGAAAGTATGTCACATTGAATACCTGTATTTTCCATCTAGACTCAACAATGAACATTTTGCTATGTTTGCCTGATCTCTCTTTACATACTTCAAATCATTTTTTTTTTAAGTTGTAAACATCAGAACACTTCATTCCAAATACTTCAACATGCATCCCTTAAGATTAAGAATATTCTTCAAACTACCACCAGCATCACAGGTAAGAAAATTAACAATAATTCCCTAATTCCATCTAATAACCAGTCATATTCAAATTTCCCAACTGTCCTAAAACATATATTTTGTAATTTTTTTTCAAATCAGTTTCACACACTTCATTTGGTTATGGCTGTTTAGTTTTTTGTAGTCATTGTTGGTTTTTACTTTTTATTTTGAAATGACAGATTCACAGAAGTCGCAAAGATAGCACCCTTCACCCACTTTCCCCTCATGGTCACATCTTACATAACACCAAAAAGAAAATCAACATTGGTAAAATATGTGTGTATACTTTTGCCATTTTTAGCATCTGTAGATTTGTGTAACCACCACTACAATCAAGATACACAAGTGTTCCATCACCACAAAGACCTTTCTGGTGCTACCTCTTTATAGTTACATCCAACCCTCTCCCCATTTTCCCTCCCACCATCCCTAACCTGTGGCAACCATTAATCCATTTTTCATCTCTACAGTTTTAACATTTTGAGAATGTTATATGAATGTTTTCATATAGAATATGGCCTTATTTTCACTCAGCATTAATTCCCTTCAAAATTTGAGTTGTTATGGATATCAATAAATCAGTCAATTTTATTGTAGAGTGACAAGTATTTCATGGTGATACATAAACCACAATTTGTTTTAACCATCTAAGGAAGGATATATGGGTTGCCTACAGGTTTCGAGCATTACAAATAAAGCTGCTATGAACATTCATATACAGGTTTTTGTGTGAACGTAAGTTTTCATTTCTCTGGGATAAATGCTCAGGAGAGCAATTACTGTGGCATATGACATGTACATGTTTGGTTTTACAAGAAACTGCCAAATTATATTCCAGACTGGCTGTACCACTTTACATTCCCAGCAATGTCTGAGATCCTGTTTCTCTGCATCCTTGCCAACAGTTATCGCCATAAAAAATTTTAGCTATTCTGATAGGAATGTGGTGATATCACATGATTTTACTTTGCATTTCCCTCATGCCTAATGATGTGAACATCTTTTCATTTGCTTATTTGCTATCTATACTTCAGTGAACTGTTTATGCCTTTTGCTTATTTTCTAATTGTATTTACTTATTACTATTAAATTTTGAAAGTTCTTTATGTAGTTTACATACCAGTCCTTTGTTGGATATGATTTGCAAATATTTTCTCCCAACATGTAATGTCTTCTGTTCTTGTAAAAAGGTCTTTTGCAGAGCAAATTATCTTAATTTTGATGAGATCCAATTTAACATTTGTTTTTCCCCTTTTAAGGAGCATGCGTTTGCTGTCATCTGAGCCTTCTTAGCTCAGTCCTAGATCCTGAAGTTGTTGGTTTATTGCCTATGGATATCCAATTGCTCCAACAACATTTGCTGAAAAGGCTATACCTCCTCTATTTAATTGCTTCTGCCCCTGTCAAACATCAATTGGGCATTTGTGTGAGTCTATTTTTGGCTCTTAGTATCTAATGGCTTAGTATTATCTTCTAAAAACAAGCCCCCTCATCCTCATTTTATACCTTTCATATGGAATTTTTCATACATACACAAAAGCAGAGAATGGTATAAACTCACAGTAGACTCACACAGCTTGAACAATTATCACTCCCCTCTCGAAGAATCCAGGGCAGCTTTCTTATATAATATCCCACGTTCTGGATTTGTCTGTTTCTCATGGTGTCTTTTATTTGTTCCTCTCTCTCCTGTATTTCCTGTAACCTGGCAATGAGGTCCAAGAAGCTTAATTCAATTCAGGTTGAACATTTTTCAGCTTAGTACATCACAGGGGGTGGCACATTATGTGGACCGCCTCAGTGTAAGAAACATTACATTTTGTTACTTGGTAAAGAGGTAGATGATAGCTTTCTTCATTGTTAAAGTACATATGTTCATTGTAAATATTATACAAGGATGAAGAATTTTCATATTCATTATCTCATGAGAACTTTGTGAGGTAGATATTCTTCCTCCTGTTTAACAGATGAGGAATTCAAGGCTCCAAGAACTGAAGAGATTTTTTTTTCCAAGGCAAGTGGCAAAACCTGACCCATCCAGGTCTTAGGCCCCTTCCGGTTTTCACTCTTGGCTACCTTTCATTCTTATTTATTTTGAGATGGAGTTTCGCTCTTGTTGCCTAGGTTGGAGTGAATGGCACCATCTCCGCTCACCGCAACCTCTGCCTCCTGGGTTCAAGTGATTCTCCTGCCTCAGCCTCCCAAGTAGGTGGGATTACAGCCACACGCCACTACACCCAGCTAATTTTGTATTTTTGGTAGAGACAGTATTTCTCCATGTTGGTCAGGCTAGTCTCGAACCTCAGGTGATCCATCCTGATCTCAGGTAATCCGCCCACCTTGGCCTCCCAAAGCACTGGGATTACAGGAGTGAGCCACCGTGGCCAGCCACTACCTTTCATTTTAATGAGGAACCAGCCCCCAAGGAACTGTGGGGTTAAATTAATAACATTTATTATAATAAAAACACCACTTTGACATTATTAAAAAACACAATCTTGGTATTCAGGTATTATTTATAGTCCAGCTGCAGAAACGGAACTTTGAGAATTAGAACATACCAACTCAAGAATATAGACTGAATTAAACCTACAAATGTACTCAAGGGCACAGAATGGTTCACAGGGGTAATGGGCACTGACTACCTGCATTGGCTTAATCAGTGAAGAGCTTGGCTCTATGTGAAAAGTTTATGTTCCAGTAAATTTAGCGCTGGCACAGAAGCTCGTTTCATGAGTAACAGGCTATCATTTGACAGCAATGATGAAATCCTGATTAGAATTGACAATGACTGTGGCAGGGATCATCAACTCAGCTGCTGAGTCAAAGACTTTTTTCCCTATGCCAGGGAAAGCAAGGTAGCACTGTCCTTCCATTTTGCCACTCTACATCTGTTAAATTTCAAATTCAAAAGCTGGAAAATAAATTGTTTTCCTTGGCATCACTGTTAATGGCTGGCCATAACATTTTTTTTCATACACGCAAACTAGATATATAATCTATTAACTCCCTTAGATATTTTTAAAGGTAAATTAAGAAAAATTATTCTTACAGCACTAAATTCCAATTGGCTAGTCACCATACTTCCTCTTGTAAAAATGAGTATCTTCTAGGTTCATGGAATCCCCCTTATTCTAACATTGACTTAATATACAAACTTACATGATACCATGTTCTAAGCTTTGACTATACCTCTTTTATTCAGCTTTTATCGACAACTGAATGATTTCAAAAAGTACTTTCACAAAGATCCTTTCCCTTAACCCTCACAACAACCCTGTGAGGTAGGTATCCTGCCAACATTTGAGTGACAGAGAAACTGAGCTTTAGAGGCTGACTTAGTAACATCACATGGCCATTATGGGACAGCCAGGAATAAAAGCTCAGTTCTGATTCCAAATCCAGTGCTCTTTTTAGGTTGTCCTCAACAGCAGACTATTGTCCACCCAACTCCACACCTGACATCCTAGATCATACTGTCTGTTCAGGTTTTCTATAGTAGTGATGCTATCTTTAAAATGCATACTGTACATATTTTCAAAAACAGTGTCTGCTTATTGTTATATTAATAAATTTATTTTATTTTAATAGAGATGGGGTCTCCCTATGTTGCCCAGACTTGTCTTGAACTCCTGGGCTCTAGTGATCCTCCCACCTCGGGTTCCCAAAGCGCTGGGACCATAGGCATGAGCCACTGCACCCAACCCATGTCTACTTTTTAATACAAAGATATTGTTGCTGCATTTACAACTATGTTATTAGATTTGGATTATGTTTTTGTAGACTTTAAAGTTCAGATTTTTTTTATTCAGATGGAGTTTCGCTCTTATTGCCCAGGCTGGAGTGCAATGGCACGATCTCAGCTCACCACAACCTCCACTTCCTGGGTTCCAGCGATTCTCCTGTCTCAGCCTCCCGGGTAGCTGGGATTACAGCATGCCACCGTGCCAGGCTAATTTTTGTATTTTTAGTAGAGATGAGGTTTCACCATGTTGGTCAGGCTGGTCTTGAAATTCCGACCTCAGGTGATCTACCTGCCTTGGCTTCCCGAAGTGCTGGGATTACTAACTTTCTTCTATATGCAACTCATTTGCCTATTAAACAGTAAGTCAAAAACTTTTTCCTTAGAAGAACCATATATCTTTTGTCCAACAGTTACTTAAGTAGGCAGGGATTCTATTCCATTTTACATATGATACTAGATTTTCTGAATCTCAATCTTGGACTCATTGGTGTTTTGTAGCCAAGAGAATTCCTCAATGGTATGGATTTTCTGTTGAAGATGAAAGTTGGAAGTCTGAGAGAATTCTTTTTCAGATGCATCACATTCACAAAGTTTTTCATCTGTATGGATTTTCTGATGTACAGTAAGGTTTTTTCTTTGCCTAAAAACTTTACTACAATCATTACACCCATAGGGTTTCTCCCCTGTGTGAATTCTCTGGTGGCCAACTAAATTCCTCTTAGAAGTAAAGGATTTCCTACACTTCTCACACTCATAAGGTTTTTCCCCAGTGTGCATTCTCTGATGTACAACAAGGTTTTTATTCTGACTAAAGTCTTTCCCACACTCATTACATTTATAAGGTTTCTCTCCAGTGTGGATTCTTTGATGTACCATAAGATTTCTACTAGAGGTAAGGACTTTCCTACATATATGACATTCGTAGGTTTTTTCTCCACTGTGAATTCTTTGATGTTCAATCAGGTTTCTGTTGTAGGTAAAACCTTTTCCACATTCATTACATGCATAGGGCTTCTCGCCAGTGTGGATCCTCTGATGGGCTATAAGGTTTGAGCGGTAACTGAAGATTTTCCCACAGTCATTGCATTTATAAGATTTTTCCCTCGTGTGAATTCTCTGATGTCCAATGAGGCTTTTCTTCAGAATGAAGCATTTACCACACTCATCACACTCATAGGGTTTCTCACCACTGTGGATTCTCTTGTGTTCAATGAGGTTTCTGTTTGAACTGAAAGCTCTTCCACACTCACTACATTCAAAGGGTTTTTCTCCGGTGTGGATTCTCCGATGTACAAGCAGGCTTGAATTGTAACTGAAAGCCTTCCCACAATCCTCACATTTGTAGGCTTTCTCTTGTGTATGGAGTTTCTGATGGACCATAAAACTTTTGCTCATAATAAAGGTTTTCCCACACTCTCTGCATTCATATGGCTTCTCCCCATTGTGGAGTCTCTCATGGTCAATGAGGTTTCTGTTCGAACCAAAGACCTTGCCACAATCTTTACATTCATAGAGATTCTCTCCAGTGTGGAACCTTTGATGTAAAATGAGGCTCTTCTTCAGAATAAAAACTTTCCCACATTCATTACATTCATAGGGCTTCTCTCCATTATGGAGTCTCTGGTGGTCAAAAAGGTAAGCACTCTGAGTGAAGGCTTTCCCACATTCAGTGCATTTATAAGGTTTCTCTCTGCTATGCATCCTCTTATGGTCAATGAAGTTTGACTTAGAACTGAAAATCTTCCCACATTTTTTACAACCAAAGGTTTTCTTTTCTGTGTGGACTCTCTGATGTAATAGGAGGCTTTTACTTCTAATGAAAACTTTTCCACATTCTTTACACTTGTAAGGGTTCTCTGCACTGTGGAGTCGCTGATGGTCAATAAGGTAAGTGGTCTGAGCAAACGTCTTTCCACATTCATCACATTTATAGGGCTTTTCCCCAGAATGGATTCTCTGGTGCAGAATGAGGCTCTTCTTCAGAATGAAAGCTTTCTGACACTTATTACACTTATAAGGTTCTTCCCCTTTGTGGAGCCTCTGATGGTCAATGAGGTAAGCATTCTGAGAGAAAACTTTCCCACATTCATTACACTTATAGGGTCTCTCCCCTGAATGGCGCCTTAGATGTATAATTAGGCCTGAGTGCCTATAGAAACCCTTTCCACACTCCTTACACTTATAAGGTTTCTCCCCAGTGTGGATCCTCTGATGGTTTAGAAGGTAAGCACTTTGAGAAAATGCTTTCCCACATTCATTACATTTATAAGGTTTCTCCCCTGAATGGTTCCGTAAATGCATTAGAAGGCTCGAACGCTGAATAAAGCCTTTTCCACATTCCTTACATTTATGAGGTTTCTCACCAGTGTGGATTCTCCTATGGTTTATAAGATGGGAGATTTTATTAAAATGTTTACAACATATATCACATTTATAAAACTTCTTTCCTTCAGTACCTATTAAACTTTCAGAAATAGCTGAACCGAAAGTCAAGCTTTCTCCAAATTCCTTCCACTTCTGGCCTTGCTTCTCTGGTGGACTCCTTTTCTTCTTGTTTCGTTCACAAAGAGAAACTTTCCTCACTGTATCTGCCCTTTCCTTTGTTTCCTTTTCCCAATGACTTGCCAAAACTTGCCATTCACACTCTTCTTCAAAATCAAGAACCTGGGGAACACTTCCTTGAAGTCTTTTTGATGTTCCTTTCTGAGAGTCTGCTCTTTGAGAACTACTTAGCTTTGATGTCACCTCCTCATTCTCGGTCATGGTCTCCCATTCTGGTAAAAGGAATTAAAAATGCAAATGTTACCACATCCCTGTGTTTGGGAGAACAGGATCTTCAAATGACTTCAAAACATTCTAGGAAGGCACACTTTATATGCATACAAAAAGGAGAAACTTTTCATTAAATGAAGGTACAAGGAAGAATGCTACATGGACAAGAGGTTGTAAATGGATTAACATACAACTCACTTTGAGACATTTTTAAGTGCTTTGTCTTCAGGAAGCAGATGGAAAAATACAAATACAAATAATGCTGAGAAAACAGAAGCAAGGAAGAACCAGAGAGAAAACACAGGATCTTATGTAGGTCATTCATATCTTAGGAAGTTGGATAGAACAGCAAGAACCATTTGGATTAGAAGTAACTTTCTTTTTTATTTTATTCATGTTAGAAAGATGGAAAATTTAAGGGAAGGAAAGTATATGTAAGGACTCTGAAAGGTAATTTTTAATTTTTGAAAATCAAAGGCATGAATACTTTTTAACTGGTTGAAAGCAATTAACCAACTGAAAAGAAATCCATTGAAAAGCAACTTAATTCTTAGAATTCATATAAACATCCTACTCCATTTAAAGTTAAGAAATGGAAATTTTTAAATTCATTTAAAAAAATGAGGTCTGTTATGAACTCCCTTAATTACACATAAAAGGTAAGAGAAGAAATACCGAAGGAAAAGGGAAAATACACAGAATAAAAGTATGAAAACTTCTGTAAGATGGTGAGGCTGAACTAATCTCCAAGGTTCCTTTCAACTCCAATGTTCTCGAATATTTTAAAAATATGAAATAATTTTTATGAAAATGTTTTGGAAGTTTACTGTCAAACTACCCAAGTGTGAGAGAAATCATGAGCCAGTTCCCCCAAACTGTCTAATAAGTTATGTGAATAACAGTAACATCATCTCCTCTTTCAATATAACCATATTTTTCTTCTATCTAAATAGAAGACAAGAGTGCAGCCATTTTAATTCATTATAAATTTCTTTAAGTTTATGAAAGGGTAAGGATAGCAAAGATCCAATAAATATTAACTTGAACTATAGACATTCTTAGGCCCTCTTATCTCATCTCAACTGCCCCTCTCTCTAGGACTCAGGCAGGACTGCCAATCACACTACACAACTGCCTGGCTGCAGGGATGGGTATGTGTCTTAGGCCTATCCAGTGCTGATACTTCACTTTCCTTATTCACAGTGAGGTTTCAAAGACAAGGAGAGGCCAAGGATGGTGGCTTATGCCTGTAATCCCGGCACTCTGAGAGGCCAAGGCAGGTGGATCACTTGAGGTCAGAAGTTCGAGACCAGCCTGACCAACATGGTGAAACCCTGTCTCTACTAAAAATACAAAAATTAGCTGGATGTGGTGGTGCATACCTGTAGTCCCAGCTACTCAGGAGGCTGAGGCAGGAGAATCACTTGAACCTGGGAGGTGGACGTTGCAGTGAGCCGAGATCATACCACTGCATTCCAGCCTGGGTGACAGAGCAAGACTCCATCTCAACAAACAAAACAAAACAAAAAACAAAGACGAGGAGAATGCTAGTGGAGAGGAGGGTTGCTTCTATGTAATGAAGCACGCTTTAAGGAAATGAACTGTTATAAGTGGTTAAACTGAGATGGAAAATGTTAAGAAATTAGAAACTCTTGTTATCAGTAGCTAATTAGCTGGTTAAACTATTTGATGTTTTAGTTTAGGAATCAGGCTATATATGGGCCTATGAGCTTTTTAAGACTTGGTAGAAAAATGTCAGAATGATAGGAAGAGCTTGTTACTTTCCATAATCTTTGGTGAATGAAGCCTGCAAGGAACAGACAGGCTTTCCTGCCTCTAACACTCCTCTCCTTGCCTTTCATCTGCCCCAATCCATGTGTACCTTTATTGTCAATGACCTTTCCAATTGGTAAATTTGATCATGTCACTCACCTGCTCAAAACATCTAACTCTTCATTGCCTACAGGACAAAGCATAAATAGCCAGCAGAGCCAAAGGGATATCTTCACACACTGCCTGTTTTTCTGGTATCAACTATTGTCAGTATCTCTTATGCCCCTAGACTCTAGCCACAGTGTACTACACGCAGCTGCCCAAACATGTCATTTCTTGCCTATCACTGCCCACGTCCTTTCCTCTACCTGAATTGCTCTTCCTCTTTCCAACTCACTACCCAAGCCCAGACCTACACCCTTTAAAACTAAGCTCTAAAGTCATCACTCTCTGACCATTAATGCTAATCTTAAAAAAATAAAAAGGAGTCAGAGTGAGAATTTCTATCCTCATCTTACCCACTCTCGAAAAAATAAAAAATTAAAAAAATAATAAAAAGGAGTATAAATAAAACTATGAATGATATGGTGTCAATAAATTAAGACAACTTATATGAAATAGGCAAATTCCTAGAAAGCCACAAACTGCTAAAACTGACTCAAGAAAAAAATGGAAAATCTGAGTAGGTCTACAACAGGGAAAACAAAATTGAATCAGTAATTAAAAAAAAAAATTACCCTCCCACACACAAAAAACCCAGGCTCAGGTTGCTTCACTGGCGAATTCTACCAAACCTTAAAAGAATACCAGTTCTTCACAAATTCTTCCAATAAACGGAGACATTTCCCAATTAATTCTGTGAAGCCAGTATTGCCCTGATAGCAAAACCAGACAAAACCACCACAAAAAAGAAAACTATAGACTAATATAGCATATGAATATAAACATACAAATCCTCAACAAAATGCTAACTAAAACTAGCAACACATAAAAAGAATTATACACCATGACCAAGTGAGATTTATCACAGGAAAATAATGTTGGCATAACACTAGGAAAACAATTAATGTAATACACCATATTAACAAAATGAAGAACAAAAACCACATCATCAAGACAATAGATAAAAACACTCCACAGTGATAAAAACACTCAACAAAGTGGGAATAGAAGGGGATTTCTGGCCAGGCACAGTGGCTCATACTTTGGCAAGCCAAGGTAGGTAGATTTGAGACCAGGAGTTTGAGGCCAGGAGTTTGAGACCAGCTTGGGGAACGTGGTGAGACACTGACTCTACAGAAAAAATAAAAATAAAAACAAATAATTATCTGGGAATGTTGGTGTGTGCCTGTGGTCCTAGATATGTGGGAGGCTGAGGTAAGAGGATTACGAGGATTACTTCAGCCCAGGAAGTTGAGGATGTAGTGAGCCATGATCATGCTACTGCACTCTACCCTAAGTGACAGAGTAAGATCCTGTTCAAAAAAATTAAATTATATTTCATGGTGAAAGATTAAATGTGTTCTCTCTAAGACCAAGAACAAAAAAAGCTGTCTGCTCTTGCCACTTCTAGTCAATATGTACTGGAGGTTCTAGCCAGAGCAATTAGGCAAGAGAAATAAAAGACATCCAGATTGGAAAGGAAGAAGTAAAATTATCTCTATTTGCAGATGACAAAATCTTGCATCTAAACAATCCTTAGAAATCACTAAAAAACTATTGGAACTAACAAGTACAGCAAGATTGCAGGATACAAGCTCAAGATATAAAAATCAGCCTGAGATGGTGGCACACACCTGTAGTCCCAGCTACTTAGTAGGTTGAGGCAGAGGACTGCTTGAACCAAGGAGTTCAAGGTCAGCCTGAGAAACATATAAAATCCCATCTCATAAAAAAAGTCAGTGATATTTCTATTCATTAGCAATAAATAATCCACAAAGGAAATTTAAAAAAACATTTATAATAGTCACAGAAACAATAAGATTAGGATAAATTTAACAAAAGAAGAACTTCTATCCTGAAAACTACAAAATATTATTGAAAGAAATCAAGGGCCTAAATAAATGGAAAGATACCTCATGTTCAAAGATTAAAAGACTTAACATTGGTAAATGTCAATACTACTCAAATTGATCTACAGATTCATTGCAATACCTATAAAAATCTTAACTGGCTTCTTCAAATATATTGACAGGCTGATACTAAAATTAAGATGGAAAGTCAAGAGACCTAGAGTAGCTAAAACAATCTTGAAAAAGAACATAGTTGGAAGACTCACACCTTTTTATTTTAAAATGTACTATGAAGCCAAAATAGTAAGAGAGGATGATACTGACATAAGGATAGACATACAGATCAAAGGACTAGAACTGAGACTTTAGAAATAAACCCTCATATTTATGATCAACTGCTTTTTTACAAGGGTGCCAAAACAATGCAATGGGGAAAGCACAGTCTTTTAAACAAATGGTGCCTGGGATAAATGGTACCACATGCAGAAGAATGAAGATAGATCCTTACCTCATACTATATACAAAAATTAACTCAAAATAGATAAAAGACCTAAATGTAAGAGCTAAAACTTAAAAGAAAATATAGACATAAATCTTCCTGGCCTTGGATTAGTGATAGTTTCTTAGATATGACACCAAAAGCAGAAGCAACAAAAGAAAAAAAAAATCTAACTCATTAAAATTAATGACTTTTGTCCTTCAAAGGATACCATCAAGAAAGGGAAAAGTCACCAGGCCAAGTGGCTCAAGCCTGTAATGCCAGCACTTGGGGAGGCTGAAGAAGGAAGATTGTTTGAGGCTAGGAGTTCAAGACCAGCTTGGGAAACACAGTGAGACTCTGTCTCTACAAAAAATTTAAAATTAGCCAGGCTGGTGGGGTGCACCTGTAATCCCAGCTACTCAGGAGGCTAAGGTGAGAGGATCGCTTGGGCCCACGAGTTCGAGGCTGCAGTAAGCTATGATCGAACCACTACACTCCAGCCTGGACAATAGGGCAAGACCCCACAGAATGGAAGAAAATATATGTAAATCATGTATTTGTTAAAGAACTTATATCTAGACTATATAAAGAATTCTTACAACTTAGTAATAAAACGACAAATAACCTAGTTAAAATATAGACAAAGAATCTGAATAGACAGTTTTCTCCAAAGATATACATACAGTCAGTAATAACATAAAAAGTTGCTCAACATCATTAACCATCAGGGCAATGCATATTGAAACCACAGTGAGATATCATTTCAGACCCATTAGGATAATTAAAATAAAAAAGACAGATAATAACAAGTGATAGGGATGATGTAGAAAAACTGGAACGTTTATATAATGCTAGTAGGAGTGTAAAATTGCGCAGTTGCTTTGGAAAACAGTCTGGCAGTTCCTCAAATGATTAAAGACAGAGTTATCATAAGACCCAGCAATTCTACCCCTAGGTGTATACCCAAGAGAAAGGAAAACATATATCCACACAAAAATTGTACACAAATGTTCATAGCAGCATTATTCATAATGGACCAAAAGTGGAAGTACCTAAGCGTTCATCAGCTGATAAATGGAGATATATCCGTTCAATGGAATATTATTTGGCATTAAAAAGGAATAAAGAACTGATACCTGATACAACATGGATAAGGCTTAAAAACACTATGTCAACTAAAAGAAACCAGTCACAAATGACCACATATTGCATGATTCCATTTACGTGAAATGTTTCAAATACACAAATCTATAGAGGTAGAAAGATTGGTGCCTGCTAGGGCTAGATTGGAGGAATGAGTTACATGAAATGAGGGTGGACTGCTGAAGGGTGCAAGGTTTCTTTTGGGGGTGATGAAAATGTTTTAAAATTCATTGTGGTGATGGTTGCACAACTTGGTGAATATACAACAAGCACGGAACTGTACATTTTAAATGGTGAATTTTATGGTATGTTAAATATACCTCAATAAAACTGTTATAAATCTTTCCCTCCTGGTGGAAGAACTGGGAACAATCCTCCTCCTCCTCCTCCCACTGTCCCAATCCTCTCATCATTCCCAGGTTCCTATGGGCTCACATAACCTTATACATGCTTTTATTATACAGCATGTGCCAAATTGTATTGTAATTATAAGTGGAAATGTCTTCTCTCCAATTTGAATGTACTTTAAGGCAGGAGCTAAGCCTAACATGGAAGGTAATCAATATTTCTTAATACTTTCCTTCAAATTCTAGTCCAATTTCCTAAATAAACATACACAAATATTTTACATACGGAAGTAGTATGTTCAAGTTATCTGAGAGTCTGTTTTTCTATCACAGTTTACTGATGTATGAAAATTGAGTACACAGAGTTATCATAATATTTGATAGTTTCATAATATACTATTAGGTCAAAACACCATTCTCTGCTTAGTACTTGATCTTAGGGAATTTGTTTTGCCCAACTTTCAACCACGATAGTTACCTGGGACTATTTTTAGACATATGACTTATATTCCCTCTTTCTGAACCTCAAATCAGAGGTTCTTTAATATATCCCCCTCAAATCTGAGTTACTAAGTCAGTGGGAATAAACATTAGGCATCTGCTTGCCCAAAGCCCCAACAACATTGCAGTGAGATTTTTTTTTTAAATGTATTAAAGTTGGTTCAAGTTTCTCTTTCTTCAAAGAGCTAGAATAATCAAGCAATTACATTATTTTATGGTTTTTTTTTTTAATTTAACTCTTAGACCTATCTGGAATTTATTTTAGTGTATAGCATGAGGTATGGGTCCATGGTGAGTGTTTTTAATAAAGTTAGCCAATTAATCCATAAAGTCTATTTTAAAATTTTTAGAAAAGATTGATTATTGAGTAAATAGCTTTGAAACTACTGAAAGCCACTTGGGTTAAAAAAAAAAAGCTGGGATGGTAGTGCATGCTTATAGTCGCAACTACTTGGGAAGCTGGGATGGAATGTTTGCTTGAGGCCAGGAATTTGAGGCCAGCCTGGGCAACATAGTGAGACTGCCATCTCAGAAACAGGAAAACCCCTCCACAAGATGTCTATGTCATTCTATATCTCAAGATAAATTGATAAATATCAAGATGGATTAAAGCTTAAATATCAAAATAAAATAATAAAAGTATCTTACGAAAATACAGGTGGGTTTAAAAAATAATTTTATGAGGAAAAAGACCACTAAGACCATAAAGGAAAATACTGCTAAGTTTAACAACATAAAATATTTTCTAAGGCTTAAAAAAATTAATAAATAATATTGAAAGGCAAACAAATGGGAAAAGCATATGCAACAATTGACAAAGCGTTAGCAGTCCTATATGTATAGGAAGTATAAGAATAGCAGTAAAACGACCAGTAAACATATGAAGAGATTTCAATCACAGTAATAATGAAAACATGAAAAACACACAAACAAAAGATAGTATTCTTGATCTACCTAGCAAAGATTTAATTAAAACACTGACCAAATCATGAGCAGATCCAGGGGAAATTGGCTCTCCTGTGTGCTCTTTCTGTAGGAGTTTAATTCAGGTATCATTGGTAGAAAGAAGTTTGGTAGTATCTATCAAAGTATAAAATCTACAGACTGACCCACCACTGCCACTGCTGAGATACTAAAGGATACAGTCTCAAAATATGAAAATATACAGTATAAATTACTAAAGACAATAAAATAATAAAGTTGCTGGGTACAAAATTAACATATTTAAAATCAGTACTTTCATATATGTAAATGACAGTCAATTAGAAAATATCAGAAAAGACTCTAATTTCAAATAATAAATATTACCAGAAATATGCAAGATCTAGGCGATTTTAAAACATGCCTAATACATACAAAGGCAGTACAGAAAAAATGGAATGTTATATAATGTTCTTGAATAGAAACATTCAGAATCATAAAGCTGTCATTGTAAAGCATGAATACTCTGCATGGAACATGGAATACTCTGCAGCCATTTAAACTGATACTGTCAATCTGTATTTCAGTCAAAATTAGTTCCTGTGGCTGATTATCCAGTTCTGAATGTTGATTTCTCCAAACAGAATTCTACATTTTTCTTCAAGTTCCAGTATAAATGCTACCTCCTTTATGGCCTTTCCTAATCCCCAGGAATGGAATTGATTGCTCTGTTTTCTGCATTTCCATCACACCAGGTTTATGCCACTCTTGTACCAATTATTTTACTCTGCCTTGTACATTTAATATTTCTATAATCATCTCCTAAACCATCATAAGATATTTAAGGGCAAAAATCACATCATTTTCACAGCTGTACTACTATAGGTATTTGATGTTTGCTGGAAGCAAAAATGGCTAATAAAAAATTTTGAAATATTCTTTTATTACTTATCAAAGAAATCTACTTTAGAATAGATATTATAACTTTAAAAATATATTAGCAGTAATTTAGAATTGTGGGATTCCTCAGTACAAATGAAAGCAGAGCAAAAGGAGTGTTCTTATACACCAATGATAAGAACAGAGAGGACACGGATCACTATGGAAAGTAATTTGGCAAGATGAAGCCAGAGCCTTAAAGCCATTCAAACGCTTATGTCCAGTAATTGTACTTCTAAAAATAATAAGACATTTTAGAAGACATTAGGCACAGGGACAGATAATTATCATAGCAATTATTCAAAATAAGGAAATGGCTAACTGAATTATGGTACAAATCATATAGCCAATATAGATAATAACTGCAAAGAGTTTGTAACATTCGAGAACACACACAAGGAAAGCAACCTATAAAACCGTATACAGATACACACACAAACACATACATTTGAACAATGTAAAAAATCTTTCAAACATACAGAAAAACCAGAAAGGTAATATATCAAAATGATAATAGTTGTCTGGAAATAGCAATATTAAGGAAGTTTTTTTTCTTCTTTGTAGTATTCAGTATTTTACAAAATAGGTATATGTTACCTTTATAATCAGAAAACAAACAAAGGCTGATGAAGTAAAGGTAAGCATCACAGAAAGAAGAGTCCTTACCTAGGGAGGTCACATTTCCATAATTCTCCAGCATCACATCCCAGTACAAGGCCCTCTGGATTGGGCCAAGACATGCCCATTCCTCTGAAGTGAAGCATACTGACACCTCCTCAAACATCACCAACTCCTGAAACAACAGGTGTGTGTGAGATTACCAATGCCCAGGAGCTTGCCTGTTGAAAGGTTCCCTTCGCTTCTGGGGAAGGGATATACTGGGAGACCAGGAGTGCACAACAGACATCAGGGAGACACAAGGAGATCACATATAAAGTCTATCTTCCAACAGCATAGACCTTGATTTAGAAATAGGAACTGACTGGACATTGAAGTACAAGGATGAGAGAGGGCAATTCAGCCACAGTGAGGTTGTGCAGATGGGAAGGAAAGAGGATGTTAACCTTACCTGGGGTTGGGCTGTTAGGAGCATAAGTGCCATTAATTGATTTCTTGGGTTCTCTTCCTGAGAAAGGGCAGAAGCTTCAGGGGCAGGACTATCTGAGGAAAGAGAAAAAGCTGCATGTGGGACCTACAAATTCTGAGTGACCCCCACTTGCAGAGCTGGAATAACACAAAGAGTAGCAATAAAAATGGATACAAGGTCAGAGGGGCCCAAGAAGAAGGTGGGAACAGCAGAAACAACAGAAAGGAACTGGCACTGTAAGAGATTCCTAGACAGGGTAGCAGAAGAAGCAACTCCCTGGAAGTAGGAGTTGAGCCACAGAAAGGGTCCTGGAACAGCCCAAAGCCCAGAGCACTGAGTAAATACCATTTTGAGGATCCTGGAAGTTGAATGCCACTGGATCAGTAGGATGCAGGCAAATTTCAGCTGCTATGTGGCTGCCAGGAAGTACAGGAGGAAGTGTTCCTGGAGTGCTCACTGCCTTTTGGAGAGGGCTCTGATCCTGGACAAGGACTGGAACCTGGAAATCAGTAAAACAAAATATACTGGCTCTTCTTGTTCCTCCAGAAAAAGGACTCACCTAAGCACTGTGGACCTCTTTCTGCCCACAATCTAGAACTGTGAGATCAGAGAGACCCACCTCAAGTATGGAGCCATCAAAACAGCAATAAAACTTTGCAATGAGAACAATGGAGCTGCCCTCAAGCCCCACTCATGGCACTGGTGACCTCTCCCAGAGGAGACTGTACAACAGAATGGTAGGAACAGAAGCCAGACCTGGGTGTGGGTTAAGGAGGGAATGGGAAGTAATAAACAGTAATTAAGAGCATGGATTTTAGTTTCAGACTTAGTTTTAGAACGGACTTCAGTCACATCTCTTCTACTTATTTACCATCTAAGTACTGACCTCTTTACCTAGTCCTCTGTGCTCAAATACAAGTAACACTAAAATCGGCACCAAGACACTTGGTTTTGCGGCCAGCTAGATGTCTGCCTCGGTTTCCTTATATCACAAATGAGGATGTATTAATTTGTAACGAAATATATAGCTCTAAGATTTTTCACTTTATGATTAAAAGAACAAGCCTATCCTTAATGCCACACCCAAGTTTGAGTTATGATTCAGACATCTTATACAGAAATGTTTCTAGTGAGCTATAGATGTACAGAAGAAATCTCACACATGATAGGCTACATTAAGATCCCAATCTAATGGTCAAGGATATAAATCTTATCAGAAGCAAATATCTTAACCCAATCCCTTGGCTTGCAGAATCCCCAGGAGGGCACACAAGAGGAGGTCTCACCTGGAAAGTTTCATTCTTGTTACGCTACTGGCATTCTATTTATTTATTTATTTAAAGACAGGATCTTACTCTATTACCCAGGCTGGAGTGCAATGGTGTGATCATAGCTCACTGCTGCCTCAACCTCCTGGGCTCAAGTGATCCTCCCACCTTAGCCTTCTAAGTAGTTGGGACAACAGGTACTTGCCACTACACCTGGCTAATTTTTTAAATTTTTTGTAGAGAAGAAGTTTTCCCATGTTGTGCAGGCTGGCCTTGAACTTGTGGCCTCAAGTGATCCTCCCACCTCAGCCTTCCAAAGTGTTGGGATTACAGGCATGAGCCACTGTGCCTGGCCTTTTATACTCTATGCCTACATCACCATTCCAAACAGAATTATAGAGACAATACATATGCTTCTATTTAGGGAAAAACTTAGCAACATTTCTTCTTCAGGTTCTTGATCCAAACTCAGCATTAGCAAGCACTACCCAGGTGACAAAACAGAGTCAATGTTTTTGTGCTGCTTCTAAGTTGGAAACAAAGATACCTCAACATAAATCCATTTCTCTACAGACATATTCTATGATCTGAATACTCATGAATCTGCTTTAATTATTGTTAGGGTGGCTAGTGTGATATTAATTTTTAATGAAAATCACACCCTCTAGCCCAGCCTCAATTCTTTCCTTCCCTTCATCCCAATACCCACCTTCCCTCCCCACCTTTCTCACTTTTATTGCTGGTCCATCAAGGTCTTTCTGTAGCTCCTCTACCAGGGCCACAGCCTCCTCGCCACTCCCAGGGCGATGGAGCTGCACCCAAGTCCGAATCTCCCCAGGCAGGATGCTCAGAAACTGCTCCAGCACCAGCAGCTCCAGGATCTGTGCCTTGGTACGTGCTTCTGGTCTCAGCCACCGGCGACAGAGTTCTCTGAGCCGGCTCAGAGCCTCCTGGGGTCCAGATGTCTCATGGTAACGTAACTGTCTAAAGTGCAGGTGGGAGGTCTCCCAAACAGAGGAGCTGCTTCCTTGGAAGCTGGTTCCCCATTTCCAAGTATCATCCTTCCCCTTCACAAGGCCCTCTTGTCTCAAAGCATTGTGGGCCCAATTTTCTCTTGTCATTGTTGTTTTAGAAAAAGGCTCCTCTCCAGTCCAGGTCTCCTTAATCCTTGACTTCTTCCTTAGAGTTTGGAGAGTATCATCTACAAGACCTCAAGAAATCATTGTTAAAATTAGCCCAGAGAAAAAGCTGAGCTTTCCAGGCCCCAGTCAGTTCCCAGTAATAAAGAGAACGTTTGTGAGTGCAAGGTTCCAGACTCGAGAGAGTGTTTCCTCTGACACCTCCCACTTAAGGCTCTGGGACACAGACACTCATGTTACCCAGACTGCTGAAACCAAACACATGAATTTCCTTTGGTCTTTATTCATAGGATCTCTTCATCTAACTACAATAGATTCTTTACCACTCTAACAATGAGCATCCTGGCTACTCCTGTATAACCTGGAACGATTCCCTCACTTCTGAGCCTTAGTTTTTTAATCTGTAAAATAGGGATAGTAACAGTTCCTAACTCATGGGGTTGTTATGAGACTCTGATGTCTAAATACATTTCAAGTTTTTGGACAGTGCCTGGTACATGGGTTTAAATGTTACTTATTACCCTCTGTAACTAGCACTCTTTCCTATGTTCCACAGAGTTAACAAGTAATCACAGTCTTAATCATGACACACATGAGATAAAATCCTATCCACCTCCTCGATTAACAAAGAAAGGCTGTATTAAGTTCTGTGTAATTTTGCTCTACATGCTTTTAATTCTCTGAAAATTGTTCATTCTGTTAATCAAAATATTTGGATAAATTTCCCTCTTGCTCTTATCTTTTCACACCTAGTCCCACAGGTGGATAAACCTGAATAAGGTTTTATTATACAGAACTTAGACCTGCTCTCTAGAAATCAACTATTCTTTAGAAACAACATATATGTTTCTAATTATAAAACCAAAAATTTATAAAACCAGAAAACAATCACTGCTATTATTCAGAACTATGTCATTCTAGCCCTTTTTCTATGCACCAGTGTGGGTTAAAGATAGGATCCAAGTGTATTGCTCTATAGCTTTTCTCACTTATTATGTTGTGAACACATTAACTATTCTTCATTATTTTTAATAGCTGTATGAGTCCATCTATACTTAATAGCCCCCTGTTGCTGGACATTTAGATTATAGATTATAATCTACAAATTACAGATTACAATAGATTATTTCTATCTTCTATAATAATTTCTAACTAATTATCATAGATTAATTCTAACTTTCCCCTATTATTAAAAAGGTTACAATGGCTATCCTTGCTCACAAATTTTTAGTTACATCTCTGCTTATTTCTTCAGGATAAATTCCTAGAATTGTTGGGCTGAGGAGTACAAGTAATTTTAAGCTTTTAAGGTTATAACAGTTATATCAGCATCAGTGACATATGAAAGCATCCTCATTATTTGAACACATAGACCCTTAAAGAGAGCCTGCTTATAACAACTGGGGGTGGGGGGGCAGAAATATAAACATAATTTCAATATAATGTGTAAGTATAAGTAATAGGAGAACATAAAACTACAGAGAGGATTAATGAAGGGTAATTTTTTATTTTTGAGATGGAGTCTCCCTCTGTCACCCAGGTGGGAGTGCAGTGGCGTGATCTCAGCTCACTGCAACCTCTGCCTCATGGGTTCAAGTTCTCCTGTCTCAGCCTCCCGGGTAGCTGGGACTACAGGCTTGCGCCACCATGCCCAGCTAATTTTTGTATTTTTGGTAGAGATGGGGTTTCACCATATTGCCCAGGCTGGTCTTGAACTCCTGACCTCAAGTGATCTGCCCACCTCAGCCTCCCAAAGTGCTGGGATTACAGACATGAGCCACCGCTCCTGGCCATGAAAGGTACCTTTGGATTGGACTTTTAAGGAAAAATAAAAGGATCACAGGACTATGAGGAAAGCCATTTCAGGAAGAAAGAAACTATTTCCAAAAGCAACGGAGTGACACATAACTTTGTGAAGGAAAACCAGAGAATGAAAGTAAACTTTGGAGGCAAGATTGTAGGAGTAGAGCAGAGAGGTAAACATAAGTTAAATTCTAAAGGCTCTTGAGAGGCAGTATTCTGAGGAGGTCATTGAGTCCTGTAAGTGAAGCAGTTTTACTTCCATTTAAGCATTAAAGAGGTTTTACTTTACATTTTTTCGTATTTTAAAAAATAGGTAATATACTCACTTGCTCAAAATTTCAGATTATAAAATGCATATTGTGTAAAGTTTCCTTCTCCCTGTTAGCTTCTTATGTATCTTTCCAGTTATTTATGCATATGTGTGTATACATTTATTGTTTTCTATTTCCCTTTTTTCACAGATGGTGGTACACCATGAATGTGCTACATTTTCCTCTTCTCAATTAATAACGTCTTAGAGGTCTTTCCTGTCAATACACAGCCCCTCTCCCCATTTTTATGGATGCATAGATGTATCATAATTATTCATGCCAGCACGGATGGAATGTTTGGGTAGTTTTCAATCATTTCTTATTACCAACAATATTATCATGAATAATCTTGTGCATACATCAGTTTGGATGTGTATAGTCACATATAAGAAAAGTTCTTTGAAACAGAATTGCTGAGTCAAAAGGTATGCATGTATAATTTTGGTATTTTCAATTTGACCTCATTAGGACTGTACCAGTTTATCATTTATACTCCCATCAGAAACAGCTGTATGGGAGTGCCTTTCCTCACTCTCACCAATACAGTTGTTAAAGTTTGTGCTCTTTGCCAAATTTTTAACTTGCATTTTGAGTGAATTACTATATTGACAGTCATTTGTATATTTTTTCAAGTAACTATTCATATATTTTGCCTGTGTTTCTATTGAGGTGTTGGGTCTTGTTAATTTGTACACATTTTTATCACATAGGAAAATTAGTCTTTTGTTTACAATGGCAGGTGCAAATTTTTCCCAGTTTGTCAAGTGTCTTTGAGACCATATTATGTGCCATGTGACTTTGCTTAAAGTGTTTTTTGCCATGCAATCTTTTATAACTTCTGGGTATTGTACCATAATTAGAAAGATCTTTTCCACTATGAGCATGAAGAGACTCTTAAGAGGTGTCAGGACTCTATTAGTGGGGAATGGTGGGGGTGGGGGGACTGGATAACAAGAAAGGCCAGTTAGATTTTTGTAATAGTCTCAACACATGACTAAGTTCTAAACGAAGTAGGAACTTACTTATCCCCTAGTAGGGATAAGGCAATTGAGAAAAACTTGGCAGTCCTTGGTAACTGATCTGGGGGTGATGGAAAGGAATTTTTAAAAAGAATTTTGAATAATTTTCTACAGCAAATTATCAGAACTCTATTTACACTTATTTTGCAGATAAAAATAACATAAAAATAACAAGTTATTAAATATACATTTTATTTGCTTCTCACAAAAGGTTTTCAAGGCAGAAGTTAAAAAGAACAAAAAGATCAGAGGAACTAATCCACTCAAGGGCACTTAGCTAGTTGAGATGTGGGAACAAATTCTGATTTCAGGGATTCTAATTCCAGAAGTCCAAAACAATTCCATCTACGAAGAAACTTATGAAACCCAAACAACTGTTCTAAAACAACGGTTTCCAAACACCAGTCCACGATAAAGCTTTAATCTGGCAAGCTGCAAAAAGAGAAAACCAGTAACAATCGTCACTGACAGGTTGCCAATGACGTGGGCAACATTTATTCTGAGTTTACGGTCTTAGTACTTTGTGTTAAAATGTACTCCTGAAGTGAGGGTGGTATGGGTGGTTTCAAGTTTGATTTTTAAATACCATCATATTACAAAACTAAAAGATGACAATTGTTCCATTCCTTTAAAAAAAAAAAAAAAAGTCTGGGCGCCACCGGTATAGGGAAGCCTCAGAATGTTTCTGTGCATCAGCCTCACAGAAGACTGAGGAAGAGCAGAAAGGCCTGAGCTGGGGGAGCAGACTACTGAGGCAGCTATCCTCAAAGAGCTAGCGGAGTCCGTTAGACTGGAGCACCAGTCCAGACACACACAGACTCGGAGCTGCTGTCCTCAGTACCTTCCCCGGGCCGCTGCCTGCCCTGCCGAGGCCAAGATGTCGACCCCCAACACGGAGCTGGGGACGGACCGTGCCGGGGGGTCAGAGCCCGGGAGGGGCCACCGATGGCTGTGCAGTCCCAGCAAACTCAGGCCCGCGTCCCAGGCCGCCTCACTTGCACGCCCACCCGCCCCCAAGCCCACCCCGCTCACCGGGGGCTCCCGCTGCGGCTCCAGCCTTGGGTACCGCCGCCTCGGCGCCAGGCCGCTAGGAGATGACACTGGAACGGACCCTTGCGGCAGCCGAGGCACAGAATAATGGCCGAGCCGTAGATACAGCGACTTCCGCTTGCTCCCAGCCCCTCATCCGGGATCTCTAGGAAGACACATCTCTATGGTTCGTTTCTTTTCCTAGCGCGCGAGAGGAGAGGCGGAACTCCTGAGCCCTTGGAATAAGCCCTCATTCCTTACATCAAACAAGAACCGGCCGCTGTGTTTCGGACTGGAAGGGTGCAGAGATGAAAGACAGGACCGAGGGCCTCAGGATGCTTGTTGCCTCCAAAGAATGTTGGACATTTCTGTTTTAATTTGCATTTCAATTGAGTTTGACAGGGAGTAACCTCTCATCTGAATGACCTGGTAGGTGACTTTTCTGGTCTCTTCGTGAACCTATGCAGTTCCCACTGTAAATAACATGGATTATAAATCATCCTCTTGTGAATTCGCTTACTGTGGTGTAGCTCTTGCCCACGATCACATACTGGAGCTACGATATTAAATAGTAATCAAGTTGAAGTTGCAAAGTCATGTGCAAATGGTGGGGACATCTCTGCCCTGAGAGAGGAGGTTATTCCAGCTGTCCCTCACGCTGGGTAAAGTTAACTGGAATTCTGATCCTGTCTTTGGTCTTCAGTCTCTTAGGTGTGGACTTCTGGAATTGACACCCCTATATGTGACTATGGCTGCAATAAGGTTCCAAAAGGAGAAGGGCCATGTCTGCATGGATCCCATGTATTTAGCCCCTAGTACAAAGCTGAAGCCATATAGGTTGTAGATGAATGTTTATTGAATGAGCAAAGTTTATGTTATTCTATTTATGTCTTTTTTTTTTTTTTTT